ACACATTTTCAGCGTACTACAAAGGGCCTAACACAATCATATTCACAACACTCCAATGAGTCTGGCAGATACTGGATACTTAATTGTGCTTCTGATGAGGAGCCTTTCTGCATGCAGCCTGGCCAGAAATGCACTGTATTTAACCATTCAAAATGTACAAGGAAAGAAATGGGATGGAAAAAGGAGACATGAGAATTTATACACATGAAAGTGTGATTATATTTACAGGAAACACCAAACAGTATTTGATGATTTTTCAGTTATCATTAGATCCTTTTTATCTTCTAAGTCATGGCACACTATTCCCCCTTTTTCCATGCAAGATGTTTTCTTCATCTTCCATTCTTAGTGTTGCTCAACAGTTACTGGCCACTTTTCCTATGTTTGACTCATGCAAGATCATCTTCTCAACTTCCCTTCTGCCTCCTATACTGTGCAGAGAAACCTGCAACTACTCTTCCCACTTTGCAAGGAGCTCTCTGACAGCTAGCACACAGAGTTCGATGCTGAAAGCACAGCGCACATGGAAGACACTAATCAATTGACCCACGTGTGTGAAGAGGACTCTGCCTCTCTGCATATCTCGTAGATTCTTCTGCATACACACCCATGCAATATCCAGGTCTTTCTTTCCCGGGTAAACAGCATTCCTTATTGCTAAAAGAGGGAGGAAGAGGAAGAACAGGCTCACAGTATCTCCTGTTGAGGCACGTAAAAGAAGAAACAGACTTCAATATGACAAGTATAGTTTATTCTGCCTCTACTACTGCCTTGGAAAAAGAGAGTTTCTTTACAGAGAGTTTGCAGTGTAATGGGTGTATTCTGGAGAAAGGGGAAGCAGCACTTTTTTCATTAGTTGCTTTTAACTCAACTAGAGCATCAGATGAAAAATCTTCACACCACCACATTACTCTCAAACCTTTCTTTAACCTTGCATGTTTGTGTGTGTCTAAGTGTGCTTAGTCACACAATAGTAATTCCAGACAAAAAGTCCTTGTAATTACTATTACAAAACCAAACCCATTAAAAAGTATATTAAAATCATTAGGCAACTAGAAAAACTTACTACTACTACTCAGATCATCTACAAATACATGGTGAGGAACAGGATTTTCATTTCTAGGAAGTTAGCAAAAAAAAAGATGATTCATTTTATTTAACCTGCGCATATGACTGTACATTGCCTCAATTACCATAAATGCAAAAGGGATGGCTGACAATGGAATTTATGAATGGGAGTAAATAAATGAAAAAATATTTCTAGAGAGGTTTTATTTCCTGAACATTATTCGCTACACAGCAAAAGAACTAAAACCTATTTTTCTAAGCAATACACTGGCATATACATGTTATGACCATAACAATACAAGGAAAGCTATTGCCAGACTCTTAACAGTAAGCACCATGCATTCATGCAAGACCAATGCATGCACAAACACACAATGCAATTAAGACAATTGTCTATGCGTAAGCTTATCACATGCACATGTGTCTGAGCAGCTGTATATACATAACTTGTTCATTAGGTTTGCATATCTGTCTTTCCCTTCTATTTTTTCCTGAAGGGAGCAAGATTGGAAAACAACAGCTCACCACCAGATAAAACACTTACTTTTCAAATTTCCCTGTACAAGCTGATTCTGCCGTTCTGTTCCAATCTGCATTATCACATCTCTTTAAAGCTAGAGTCTCCTCTGAACTAGTTTCCAGACACGCAATTTTAAAGTATTTTTACAAGCCGCACAAACATTCTTTTGAAGGATAACAACTTACAGTGAAAGTGTCTATATGGATCATAACTAAGAGTTGACATCAAATGCTTAGAGGTGAAATTGGTTCATTGACTTACATTTCAGTATGTGCTTTAAGTAGTGGTTTAGCAATGTACATATATTTATTTCTATGCTTGAAAAATATAATAACCACCTTTTAAGGAAGCAAAACACTTTGCCATTAAAAATAATTACCTTGTTTTAGGAAATTGCAGATTATACAGTGCTTTTCATTTTAGAGTCAGCAAAATTATAATTTTGTTGTCAAAACAGACAAAAAAGTACTTGATATTCTAAGACTTCACTTAATTTCTTCCCTGTCCTTAAAAATCATAGATGCTCAGAAATATGACACAAGCAAAACCATTAAAATAGTGAAAGACTATGTAATGCAGAAAAAGCAGAGCTGCACCCATTCAAACACAGTACATGATAGGAGTTAAATGAGACACAAATTTAACTTCAGTATTTGCACACTCACCACTTTCCTAGCCTGCTAACTCTTTTGGAAAATTGACATAGCAAGTCCTAAGTGTATATGTAAGTATGAAAAGCACCCAATTTCAGGTTCCGTCTTGCGTTTTCACAGTATTAATGTTTGCGCAGTTTTCGTCATGCATGTAAACCCTGCTAAAGTAACAACTCCACCCAGGTGCAGTGTGCTTCCCCCCTCCAGCCTCGCCACTGCAACATACTTATTTGCCAATATAAGTTTCTTTTTACAGTGGACTACCACCGTAGGCTTTCTAGACTGGATCCTGAATATTCTTCATTTGGAAATTATACAGATTTCACTGGCTTGCTGCCAATGTTCCTGATACATTCTCTCAAGTATTCTTAGAAAGAAATAAAAGTGTCACTATCCTCCTATTAAAAACTAGATGCTGTAGAGACAAACAGTACATTTAAATTAGATACAAACCCAAAATAATAAGCTTGCACATAGACTGTTCTTTAACTCCTCCTAATATACCAGAACAGACACACACAAATGTCTTCAATCAAGACAGGCATATTATATTCCAAACTACACGGAAAGTTAAAAAGAAAATCTCAACTACCAAACACTTCAGATACACTCTTCTTAAACACTACCTTTCTTTCAAGTATTTTATTTTATAACATCTATTAACAGGTTACATATTATCCCACATAAACCTACCACCTCTCTGCACCTAACATTTTTTGCTGTTTTTTCAAAATTCTCATAGCTTGACTGAATTTTCATCTAGTCAGCTGAATTTAATCTCAGATGTACTTTACCATCATTGTTTCTGACAAATAATTTAATTGCCAACATTTCAGTATGTTACGAAAAATATTGTTTTAATAAATTGTTATAGGTTATTCTAAAAACTGCTTTTAAACTTCCAAGCCACAACCAAGGACAATACCACAGATGACAAAGCAAGCAGGACACAAAATGGTACACACTTCAATATAGACATTTAAACAGAAGATTAAAAGTTGCTTTGATTTAGTGGTTCAATGAGAAAATGCGCCAGAATGTCTACCAAGGGTACACATTGAACATCATGTTGCTGTAATTTATCTATTATCTTTATGATAAGAAAAAGTAATTTAATTGTTAATACCCAAATAAAATTCTAAGAAAAAAAAAATCCTCATCCAAACCAATATGATGACACAAGATTTATCCATAATCTCTTTTTTTAGCTTCCCTAGGAGTAAAAGCATTAATAATTATGTTACTTACTAATGACTGATCTAAAAAAAGTGTATCAATTTTACTTTTGTCTATATAACAACTCCTATTGGATACACAAATATGTAAGTGTTAGCTTGGACAAAATAGCTTTCTAAACAGCATAAAACATTAACTTGATGCATCAGAAAAATAATATGCATGAAACTCAATAATTACCCAGTTTTTAAAGTATCTGTAAGCAGCAGCAGAATGCCTTTTCATGCAATTAGACAGAAAATATTTCACAGAGAATCAGTTTATGGTATTCACTTGCCTACTTTGGAAAAGTTAACCTTTTGAACCATTCTTAGGGTATGCTGACCCCTAAAGGTCTAAAAATACTAAATCTGATTAAGCCATTACACATTTGAAGTTTAAATTGTCAGAATATAGTTCTCCACTAAGTTACTCCACCACGACTATTTCTTTTCAGAGTATATGATTCAAAACCATTTTTAACTTCACTCAGTAATAGCTCAAAATTCCATGAATTTAAAGAGGTCTACAAGTAGTATATTTTGCACAATAATATAGATAGAAATTCTTTTACATATGTAAGAAATACATCATCTCCAAGACGGTGTATTTCTTCTTTCTTCTTAACAGACTCTTCATGAGAAACTTGACATTTATTATATTTTGAGAAAGTATACATAGTATAAAATTTTTAAAAAAAATACACAAGATGCTATCAGGCTCTGATATAGGAGGCATCTTTGATGTTGACACACCTATTAATTTTTTTTTTTTAACCTATGCATAGCCATTGGCAAAAATCTACCCTTTTATGATGTACTGAATGTCTGCTTCCTGTGTCTTTCCCTTTCTTCAATCTACACATTATTATCTAGTCACAAGCTAATTTATGACAATTGTCTTCTGTAAAGTCAGTCACATAATGTCAAAATGTGCTCTCAAAAGCAGTGCTGGGTTTTTGTTTGTTTGTTTGAAGGTTCTGCCATGAAACATAGAAGAATGTATCTAAGAGGAAAACTTCGGTCATCCAAATACAGAAAGATCCTTCCATCCTGATGCAGATGAAAACTCCATGAATTTAATCAAGGCCCCCTCTACCTCCAAGCCTACCTTACTGTGTATATTTGGTTGGGATAATAATGAAAAACTTGTTACTATTGGTAAATGGCTTAATTATACTCTTGCCAAGCATGAATAGCCAAGAAAGTTACTTTAAGACAGACTTCAGATTAGTTGTTAACTCATTAAGAAAAAAAGCTTGGAGAGTAAATTGCCATGTACAGAGTAAGAATTTAAATGACTTCTCAAAGTTATACAAAAACATTTTAAATAACGCAGAAAATAAAAATAAAGCTGATGATTTACATTCCTGCAGCTGGTCTCCTGTTACCCCAAATACTTTTAAGAGGTAGTATGTGGTTGTGTGGTTTTTTTCCTTTTCTTCCAAAGTCAGTCATATATCGGCAAGAACAAATACATTCCAGTCACTGCCTAGCATTGGTACAACACCTGAGGTTCCTTATTAATATCTTAAAAGTCCTTACCTTTTGAACAGTTCTCCATTTGTTCTTCTGAACTTGTTTGATCTGGCACTGAGTCCAGTTTTTGCTTGACGATTTCAGAGCTAAAATAAAGCAAACTCTAGATAAATAAACTTGAAACAATGTATTATAACACACCTATACTTTGCTTCGTTTGACAGAAAATTTACAAGACAAATGATTTAAAAATATTTATAACAGGAGAATAAAGTCTGTGTACTTTAACAGTCAGTGCTAAATTATAGTTCTCAGTAAAATATTTTTTCTTCACACATCTAATTTTTATCATGGTTTGGTTTGGCTTTCTGTTGTCTGTAATGCCTTCATTGAAAAATTTATTAGGTTTTCTTCTTGTTCTAGAGTCTGGTCTTGGAAGTACATGCTAGTGAGCACAGCCCCAATCACACTGAGTGGTCCCGCTAGAGGCAATGCGACTGCTCACTTTGGTAATTATTACAGATGGTGGTATGCGCTTCTCTTTACAACATTCTTTTTCCTGCTTTAATTTTCTGGATAAAATACAGGTAAAATGGCCCATGATCACTCCAACTCTGAATTTGCAGGTTTTTTCTAAATGGCTAAATAATCCACCCTCATATTTGCATACATATTGCTTCAGACTATATAGTTAATTACACAGTTGCGGTATTTCATATAATCAAAGATCTTCAAGAAACAACCCTTACTACTCAAAAATAAGACCCTACAGTAAAATGTTATGCTTATCAGGTAACATTTTGAGTGTTAAAATATATGGTCTCTTATATGTTAAAAATTCAACTACATTCTATATCTCAAGGAAATCTAAATAAATTACTAATCTTGCTAATATAGTAAGCTTACCACAAATTTTATTATTTACTGAAGCACCTCTTTTAAAATACATTGTAGAAAGGACAATTTTTCATCTTTAACTACGTAGTTGTGCTTATTTTGTATGTTTGCTATATTTTTTCCTACATTTATTAAAAAGATACAACATATGCCTCAAAAAGGCAGTGGCTGGATCATGAAAATACCCAGAGAGTTGTCATTGTCCTGATAAATATAAGAGTTAAAAAAAAAATAAGTACACATTTTAAAATTCAAGCATATTATACCACGACATATGTTCTAACTAATAAGGCAGCAGAAGAAATTTTTTTCCTATAAAACACCAAAAAGGCAGATGTTTTAATTTTTATCTTTGAGATTATAAAAAAGTAAAATAATTGTGGAAACACTTAAGATTCAACACTAACATTTACATTAAGCATTCAAAAAATACATATTTAGCTCATATTTGTTGTTAACTATAGATATGCATGAGGAAAAAAAAGCGTATGATTTGATGCGCTTAGGTCTTAACAAAAAATAACAACTTCACCTCATATTGCAGAACACTGAGTTCCTTACAAGAGCCCCTCAAATGAAGCTGTACGCTTCTTTTTCAATTCTGTGTAACTGTGTTGATTTGGAGTTGGCAATCTTTTCCTAAGTTCCTCATTTACTTTTGGATTAGCTGAAAATATAGAAGGTTATTAATATCAAGAAATAGGTTTCTGTCAATGAAGCCA